TATCGCAAAATAATATCGCAAAATAATATCGCAAAATTTCCTCGTTTAACATGTCTCTCGAGGCAAACAGGGAGAGACTGAAAATTTCAGAGCCACCATCGAGAAAATTAGGATCTCGTACTCTGCCGGAAGTGGACCCTGCGTCAACCTCCCCTCCCCCGTCACCTAGTTTCTCGCGGGTCGCGGAAGGAGCGAGCTGGTGCTCCGTCCACGCGAGGAAGAGGAGAATCGCAGAAACACGCACGGGACACACGGGGAGCGCGGAAAAAATGCTATGAACTTGCGGTCGTCCGGAATACAGTGGGCTCCCGCGGTAATGAATGTGGGAGTTTCACACGGGTCAACGGATCGCTGCCTTTTCTAGGGATACGCGCAAGGTGCACTCTCTTGCGGTGCATTCTCTCTTTCTCTCTTTCTCTCTCGCTCCTCTGCCAGCCGAGTCAAAGCGTGTATCCTAGCGTGTTTACCCATAATAAACCGCTTGATAACTTATGCATTCCGAGCGGACGAGATATTATCTATCTAACGCTGCCGTAAATAAGATGTACGCAAACTGGATGCGTATAAATTCGTCGGTCCTCTCGACGATGATGCCCGCGAAAGGAACTTTCCTCTGGATTCGTTTGTTCAACCGAGTAAATTGGCGCACGTAATTGTTAGTTCTGGAAACGCATTTAATTAATCTAAGAAGATTCAATCGAGATCGAGTTATTTTTGGAAATTATTTGAGGTACGATCGAATCGAAATTTATGGGTCTTATCGGAGAGACCGGCTGATTTTTACGCAAGGAAAATGAATTAACCTTCGATTGCAAAATACCACGAGTTTAAATTCGCGACGCCGACGTCGCGTGCCGTGCACCCATTGCCCTTTACCCGTGAAAACATTCGCTACTTTCCGCGCCACGTACGTCCGATAATCGTGGTAATCGTATCCCGTTCCCCCGAGATTAATATCGATTAGGCGCGCAGTCGTGATGCCGCATCGGTCATGCTGTTCAACAAACGGAAAGCCGCCGAAAAATTTAGCATCGTGTTTTCGAACTCGAAAGAGTTCTCCGACCTCTCTTTTCCAGCTTAAAAATGATTGCGAAAATATATCTCGCCAAATTATTCGGGTAAAATTAAAGCTGAGCGAGTTAATTTTGTCTTTTGAGGTTTGAAATTATCATTGGTATTCTTATATTCGTTTGCTTTTATTAACTTTTATATTTTAGAGTCGACAGTAATTTATTTTATATTTTAGAGGTGTAAATAGAAAAAAAAAAAATACGAATATTGCAAAAGAAATCAATAAGCCACAATTTCTTTCAAAATTTTGTTTTTTTTCAGATATTTAACATCTTTATATTTTTATTATATATTTTGATTATTGCAAGTTGACTTTCTATTATTTTTAACTTTTTAGATGATGGATTTAAACTAATCATTACTATTTTAAATATAAATCGCATTGATAATGATGGCATTCAATTGATTAGATATGTAATCATTATTTTTATGTCATATTTTAGTTACTTTTACATTATTATTATTTATTTTAATATAATAAAAGAGGGAAAATTTTTATATTTTTAATTTATTTTTCTCAAAAGTAATTTTAATGAATTAATAAGATTTTTGCCATTAAAATAATGCCAAAACATTACTTGGATAATTTTCAGTTAGACGCATAATTTACTTAGATAACAAACTTTATTTTAATTACATAGCAAAATTTTTTTGTTATGTATTTGAAAATTATTCGAATTATGTTTGATGTGATTTACTGGAAAAGTGTCATTAGTTCATTAAAATTACTTTGAAAGAAGATAAATTAAAAATACAAGAACTTTTAGTTTTTTAAATATATTAACAAGAAAAGGTTTGAAGAAAATAATATTATATTAAAAAATAATGGAAACAGAAGACCAAATGCCTTCTGCAACATTTGTTTTCTATTAGAAAAAAATTTTTTTACATCTCTAATCTTACATATATATTTATCTCTCTCTTTCTCTGTTTTTCTCTAACTTTCTCTGCTCTAATATTTTACAATTGTATTTATCGACAAATTATCAAGACAGATTTTAATGAATAAATATAAAATTGATAAAGTTAATCAAAAATGAGATGGAAGCGTTCCTCGTGAAAGCCTCTCTGGAATCTTTCTCATTCAAATTCCAGATTGGCCGGACGGGATACCACGAAACACTGTCCAGGAGCCCGAAAACACTCTACGGGGAGGAGATAATTTTTTGGGGTTGTTAAAAGTCTTGACTTCAGAGACGCCTGAGGAACGAGCCGAGGACAGGACAAGCATCTGGGGCCTGGGAAGCATTTTCGGCGCCCATCTCTTCCCCCTTCCTCCCCCTCGCCCCCTCGGTCCCTCGTCCCCGGTGCTCGACTCGAGGAAAGAGGCCGCCTCCGCCCGCTGGAAAATTAAAGGGCGCACCGTATCGCGCGGTCCGTCACTGCAGACCGAAGATGAGAAAGCGACGTCGCTCGTATATGTGTGTATGCACGTAATACGTAAGATATATATACGGATGCGTACGGAACGAGCAGTGCCACGTTTCCTTTGAAACTTTGAACTTCCTATCGCGACCACCGCGGCTCTTTGTGGAGACGGATGAACGTCTCCCGGATCCAGGATAATACGAGTCGCGTCTCTTTCCATTCCCCTCCGCCCTCTCTCTACCTCCCTCTTTCTATTTCTCCTCCGCTAGCCTAGTCGCAGGATCGAGATCCTCCGGCGAATAATCCCGGAACGTGGAAAGATCCGCGTCGCGGATATCGATCCCACAAGTAGAATGAGGAGTTTTAGTCGCGGAATAATTAATGTGAGAGAACAGGTACTCCTGTGTGCTCCTCCGCTTTCTCTGTGACTCGACGTGCTACGTGTTTACGGCGAGTTTCCAGCAACGACGAGCCTGCATCGCTCTACGATCGGTCCCTGAATCTGCCTGCGACTTTTATATTTTGCGTCTTTCCTTTTTAAATGGAGGACTAATTTCGAGAAATTAATTAATTCGTGCCCGGCGTTTAAATTGATTTTCCAGATCGTCTTCAACTCGAAACTCCCTCAACGAATGCCAAGTATTAAAAATATGTCCTCTCGTGATACACATTATTATAATTTGCGTTTAAATTTTCTAATCGAGGAAGCTAGGAATATAAATTGTATCCAGCCCCCCATCTGTCTGTTTATCTTCCCTTGACAGGTAATAGGGATACAATCAGTTTAACAGTTTCCGAAAAGTACTTGGTAAAAGTAACTTGAAACAATTTGTCACGCGCGCGACGGAATTCTGCTACAGAAACTCATCGCCGCTATAACGAGTGCGGCAACGATCAGCAACGAAAACTTGGCACCACGCCAAGCAACATTAATACGTTCGGGAATTACCGCGGTAACTTAAACGCTCGGTCAGCATTAATCGCGTCGACACCGCGAAGGTTGTCTGCGCTTTGTCTTGGATTTCTTAAAAACTTTGTCATTCGCGAATCGGAAATTTAAAAAAAAATCCGAAGCGATACATGCGTGCCATGCAATTTTATAAGATTTAAATCCCCTCAAACAAAATTTAAAAATTTATTTACAAAGATACCGAGAATAATAATTGAGTTTAAGGGAGTTCAAGTAAATTTTATAAGGATTTAAAGCCTTTAAAAAAATTTAGAGATTATTTAAAAAGAAACCGAGAATAATAATTGAGTTTAAGGGAGTTGAAGTAAATTTTATAAAAATTTAAAGTCCTTAAGAATTTAGAGATTATTTAAAAAGAAACCGAGAATAATAATTGAGTTTAAGGGAGTTGAAGTAAATTTTATAAGGATTTAAAGCCTTTAAAAAAATTTCGAGATTATTTAAAAAGAAACCGAGAATAATAATTGAATTTAAGATAGTTAAGTAGATTTTATAAGGATTTAAAGCTCTTAAAAAAATTTATACAGATTATTTAAAAAGGAACCGAGAATAATAATTGAGTTTAAGGGAGTTCAAGTAGATTTTAAAGATTTAAATCCTTTGAAAAAAAATTTAGAAATTATGTAAAAAGCAACCGAGAATAATAATTGAGTTTAAGAGAGTTCAAGTAGATTTTATAAGGATTTAAAGCCTTAAAAAAAATTTCGAGATTATTTAAAAAGAAACCGAGAATAATAATTGAATTTAAGATAGTTAAGTAGATTTTATAAGGATTTAAGGCTCTTAAAAAAATTTATACAGATTATTTAAAAAGGAACCGAGAATAATAATTGAGTTTAAGGGAGTTCAAGTAGATTTTAAAGATTTAAACCTTTTGAAAAAAATTTAAAAATCATGTAAAAGGAAACCGAAAACAATAATAGAGTTTAAGGGAGTAGATTACATCAAATATTGACCCTGTTATCGAACTCAAATTCTGAAAAACGTCGGCTTAGCAATTTTTTTCCTCGCACTTTCTTCCTCGCAGCCGCGAAACGAGTTTTCGCGCGCCGGATGCGGAACCGTTGCTCCTCCGCGGGTCCGTTGAAAAATCGTCGCGACCGCGTTCGCGCCGCGACACGACGCGAGGAAAGGGTTGCGTTTTGGAAAAAAAGCGCGTCTTTCCCTCTCCACTCGCCGCGCCGGAGATAACCGCGCGAGAGAAGGCGCCGGGGGTCTCTCCCTCTTCGCGGTTATCTCTCGCGCGCGAGACGAGGAGAGGAGGTGGAAGCGAGAGGAGCGGATCCGGCAGCCAGACGGCGGACGAGAGAAGAGAAAGACGAAGGTGCGGGCGTGTTTGCGCGACCTATAGCGACTGGAAGGGAGCGGGAGGGAGAGAGAAGAGCCTCGCTCGCCGGAGCGAGAGAGAGGGCGCGAAGGCGGGAGGGGATGACAGGGAAGACGGAGGGGCGCGCGAAGGGGAGGGAGGGAGCGAGAGACGGCGAGCGGAGGGAGAGAGAGGGAGAGCCTTTTCCCCCACCCCGGGGGGGAGGGGGTGAAAACTACCCCGAGAGCGCGTGGGGTGTCCGGCCTCGGCGGCGAGGCGAACCGAGCGCGTCCGAAGCCGAGCGCAGTGCCCGACGCACACCAGGTCCCGCACGGCACACGACCAGAGGCGCGCACAGTCCGGCACAGTCCACTCGGCGATACGACCCATGCTGGACCGTCGTCGTCGCTCCGGTCCACGCCGGCATCAGGCATCCAGCACCCGCGCCAAGGTGCCCGCACCAGGTGCTCATCGACGCAGCGTCAGGCCCGAGGACGCGGTGCCGCGGCTGCGGCGCGTCCACGTCACCGCGTCGGGAGCCCGATCGCGCCTGGTCCAGGAGCCGCGGGCCGGCGATCGAGAGTAGCGAAAGCAGGAGCGAGGAGAACGACGAAATACCCGCGGCGAAACACGCGCGAGCGCCTGCGGGACGCCTTCGGACTTGTTTATATTTACCTTTTTTTCCTCTTCTTTTCTTCTCCCGGCCTCGGGCCACCGTGTCGGCCAGGTCGGTCCGAAACGTGACGGAGTGGTGAGCGAGAAACAGAGTCGATCCCGACGACGAGAGTGAGACTGTGAACGCTGTTGGTCGCGCCGGGGAGAGTGCGGTCGAGGGTGACGAATTTCGACGTGGAAGAGGAAGAATCGCTCGCTGATCGGAGGTGCCAGCCGTCGTCCACGTCGGCCCGCACCTAGTGCGGCCGCATGTCGGTGGACACGGTGCAGTCGCGGAGGAGCGCGACCAACGGGGAACATGAGGCCCGACATTGACAGTTGACGAACAAGTGTAGGTCCAGGTGACGAGTGCGTCGGAGGAGAAGCAGGTCGAAGAAGCGCGCTCGCGCGCGCGCGGCTCGTGTCGGAGAAGGGCAGAGAGGACGGTGTTTCTCGTATCCCCGGGGGCAAAAAATCGGATGGACCCGTTCGCGGCGGGCGAAAACGCGCGGCGGAGGTGAGAGGGGGGAGGACGGAAGCGTGACGACGGCCAAGATCGGGTCCTTTGTCCTGGTGGCTGTCGCTGACAGCGACGCGCGCTCGTCGCTTCCTCCTTCCTCGTCTTCCTCGTCCCCGCGGAAGGCACTGGCGTCAACAATAACACTCGGCGACCATCGTCGTCTCCCTTTCTCACCCCAGGGCCTCTCGTTCTTCCTCGAGAAACAGTGAAACTCCACGCGACGAGAGTCGAAGATCGCAAACGCCACCATGAGGATCAAAATGCCCGCGGTCAGGATCGCGCAAGGTGAGTCACGACGGAGGGAAAAGCCGCGGGAATCGGTCGGCCCCGTCGGCCGACGCGACCGCAGGTGTTTACATGTCGACGTGTGCTCACGCACGCAATTTTTCGCGCAAAAAGCGACAACACGTGATCGGGTCACCATCGGTCACTCGGCGAACGTTTACTTTGTATGCTCGATTCGAGTGCGTCCGTTTTTCGAGCGACACGTGTAACGACCTGGGAGTCGCGATTGTTAAAGGACACGGTGGGTTATCCAGGTGTTTACGACGCGACGAAAATTATTTCGAATCGTAAAGCCTGTCTCTCGCCTACTTTGGGACGTTTCTTCAGCCCTTGGGCCGGGTATCGCGACGTTTTTTACCACCTATAATGGTGCGATTAGATTAGATTTGATAATGTATTGCCGCTCCTTTCTTTCTCCCTTTTTCTTTCCCTTTCTCTCTCTTTCTCTTTTTCGATGCGATCGCTTTCGAAGGCCAGATAATTTACTAATGTTTACGATAAGTAGAGTTTAATTGTATAACCGATAAATGTCTGTAAGAAGAACGAATGGTTTCTCAGCGACGTTAGTTAACTTTACTTTGCAATTGTTTGCCTCTCTCGATAATCGAAACTTAAAAGAGAGACGAGAAATCGGAAGAACCGGAGTCGTTGATCGAGTCACCTGTAATTGTAATACCTGTCGGAAAAGTACGGCATTTTTGGGACAGAAACGTGGCCAGACGAGCTTATCGTCGGGTTCTAATCGGGCGCAAATATGTAAGATATGAATATTCGTTCCACCTTGAAAATGTCCATCTTCGAAAAAACTCACATATTATACATGTTTAATCTTAAATTAATGTTTCCCTCCCGTTTGCAAAATTTTCGTATTTGCCGTCCTCGGTCAAATATATTACATTTATTATATCGGGCGAAAAAGTGAAAGAATCTTTAGCCTGATGCTTCATGCGCTGACATTTCTGAATATTTATGTTACATGTCAATATTATTATAAAAACAACGTTGATTAATTGTTCGCGAATCCAATCGATTTGTCGCCGCAGCTCGATTTCAAATTTTCCTCGGAATCAAAAGCAATCTCTCTCTCTCTCTCTCTCTTCCTTGTTAACCGCCGTCGACAAATCCGTGCCATTTGTAACGAGAAACTCTCATCGGCGGCCCGCAAATCCTTCCCCGGCGATCCGTGATCGGATCGTCGTAAATCGTTTTCAATCGAGTCACGCGAGTCCGGTGCGCTCCACTTTGATTCTAATCATTTTATACATCCACTCCGATTCCACTGACGTCGCGCGTCATCGGCCGAGAGGTCGGGCGAGAAAAAAAGGGGGAAAAGAGTCGAGAATCAAACTTGCGATTAATCCCCCGTCGCGCTTTCCCGAAAGAAAATAATCCGACGCGGTAGTCATAATGCAAGCCCTCCGCATCGAGCCGGTATTCCGGTCACGATCCGGTAATTAACTCGGCGAACTCGCGTCCCGATCAAGAGGGCAACCTGTCGATGAGGTAAAACGCGCGGTCGCGCCGCAAAAAAAATAAAAAAAGTGAAAAGGATCGGCGGTCGCGTGGCCGACGACGAGAAGGGAAGGTAAAAAAGCTACGAAAGACGGCGAGAAAGTTGAGCGAGAGAGAAAGAAGGACGGAATGGGGTACGGGGAGAAAGAGAAAGTGCGCGCGAGCGAGTGAATGAACCAGAAGGGAGAGAAAAAGAGAGAGAGAGAAGTCAAACGAGAGCGAAAGAGGGAAAAGAGGGATGGAAGGCCAACGTCTTCGGGTAACTCGTCGGCTGAATTTTTAATTAGTCCGCGACAGCCCCCACCAAGCGAGGAGCGGAGGCGGCGAAGGAGAAGAGAGGGCAAGAGAGAGAAAAAGAGAGAGAAAGAGAGAGAGAGAGAAGGCGGAGGGAAGGAGGAGGAGGAGGAGGCGGCGGGCGCGGGGCGAGGGTTAGGAAGGGCGGCATTGTCATGCGCGCGTTTTTCAGAGACTTTTCCACCCCCGCGGGAGACTGCTACCCCCCGTCGGCAGCCAGCCGCCCCCGCGACGCCCCCGCGAGGCACCCCCTCGTCCCCACGAAGCGGCGGCGGCGGCGACGACGGCGGCGGCGGCTCCGTTTTCTTAATTACAACTGCGATATTCTTTAGTTCGCGCGATGACGCCGCCGCGAAAAGATACCGGAATATTTCCCGGCCACCGATTATCCCCCTCGCGTCCCTCGATTACCTCTATCGGTTCGCTCGGCGATCGTAGGATCGATTCGGCGATGTCGATCCGGCCTGCGAGAGGGGGACCGATGATAACCCGCGACCGGAATCGATCGGTCGTGATTAGGAACGCGAAGATAGCATCGCTGATTTGCGAGTTTGCGTATCTACCACCTTGAGGAGGCGAAATCAATGAGAGACAGTGTCAGTGTCGGGAGATGTGCGTGTGTGTGTGCGTATGTGTGTCCCCCTGACACACAATCATGGTCGTTTTCGATGACGGATCTCTGGAAAGAAGATCTCCGAAATTGACTTTTCTTTCCTTCTCTCTCTCTCTCTCTCTCTTTTTCCCGTAGAAGCCTCTCCAAAAGACGACCTAACGAGAGCTTTCCTTCCGCAGTAATTAAAGTCATGTATCTCTCAAACGATTAATTGACAACTGACAACTCTGCTTCGCCGAATATCATCCTTCGTGTCAAGGTGAGTCCTTGTTAATGTTGAGCGACTCGTGATTCTTTGGAAGAGATCCGGGAAGAGATCGAGCGAAAAAAATTTGCCAAATGTCAAAGAATTCAAATTTCGCGATCTCGAGCTTTTCGGGCTCTTTAAATTCGTGTTTGCAAACTCGGAATTGTCGTTTACGAATCATTTAATCATCCGAGAATCGCGAATGTATTTTCCCAGAGTAGACGCCGACCGTCGCGAGCCGAATGTCCTGATCCTGATTTCTCAAAGTGGAAAGAAAGAGCACAATTTGCGCAAAGCCTGATATCTATAAATAAATCATTGATATTTAATATTGTAATATTCATTCTCCTCTTGCTATGATTTAAATGTCACGGAAAGGATCTTTTAATTTATTTATGTCAGATATTAATTGATTTCAGCTTTTAATTGTGATTTTAATCCAACGAAGGCTTCTGCTCGTGTTTTCGCTGTCAAAAATTTTCGGCAATACTTGAATGTGTCATGTGACGGTGACATTTTTACATCATACGTTTGTATTCAATAATTTATAATTTATAATTTTTTATAATTTTAATAATAATTTTAATAATTTTAATAATTTTTTCTAATTTATAATTTTTTTATAATTAATAACTTTTTAAACATCAACTATATCGACTCGACGTATTTCTATAAAATTATGCATACGATCATCATACAAGAAATTGAAGGGGATCTGACCTTTCCTCTTTATCGCGCATCTTTTGCAAATTTCAAATTGCAAAACACATGACTGCGGAACGTCTAATGCTGTAAATCATTAGTCATTTGTGTTTTGTCTCTGTCCACATGCGATAACCACATAATGTCCTAGTCAATGGAGTCGCCGCAGGTATTCCGCATAATCCGGATCGCAATAACGCGATAAGCCTTCAAGTGTCAACCTTTAAAGATCGAATGATTAGTTGGCTGACCGGCCCGCATAGTCACTCATCGCTGGAGGGTCCTTAAACTGGCCACGTATTTTCTCCAATTGTTGCATTTGCGGTTTGCTGTGAATGTCAATTATCGATAGCACGCGATTGTTTTTTCTTTCGACATCGCATACAAGAACTCCAATTGACATTTCCTTCATAAATGTCAATCGCAAATCTTGTAAAAAATGTTCCGATATTCCAAATAATTATGTTCAAAATTAGATTACTAGAATATTTTAAAGGTTTTTTGGTGGAATTTTCTATAATAAGTTTTTTACTGCATTTTCTAACGTTCTTTAACTATACGAATAAAACACAGAGAGTCTCAAGAGAATTGTACAAAATAAGCATTTGTTAAGATAAGCATTTTGCCATTAAAAATTATAATAAAAAATATCGCATATTCAATTATTTTATCAGGAATATATAAGCATAGATATTTATAATTTTTTTAAACACACAATTCTTGGATTACTCATACGTGTGTTTATTTGAATATAAGGAAAAATTATCGAGAAAAGAATTTCTTACAAAATTGCCCGAGTCTCGATAAAATTCCACACGAGAATTCTAATTCTTCCAGATACAAAAGAAATCTCTGACAATTCTACGTCTTCCCTATTTTTCCAATGAGTAAACACTGTAAAATTAAAGTCAAATATGAGTCTAAAATGGCGGTCGGTCTCTGTGAAACATTAAAAAGAGTTCGTATTAAAAAGAATCTGACACGCGGCGTTTAATCCAAGTCGGTATAAAAATCCTATTTTGCCTCAATAATAAAAAGCGACGAAAGTGACCCTCTCGCGCGAATAAAACTTTGCGCTTTCGCGATGGAGAGCACGCGGATGTATCTTCGTCACGTTAATTCGTAGCAAAGTCTTCTTCTTCTTCTCGAACGCGGAGGTTAATGAGCTCGCGATCAGGGGGGAGAAGGGGAGGGTTTCTTGCGCGCCCCACATCCAGACACTCACGAGGATGTTATTTAGCAAACAGAGAGCGCTAAAGCTTTGCCCCCCGCCGGCACGTGCGCGGCATATGCGCCTTTTGCGCGTACGTGTCGGATATTGTCTTTGATGCGGCCCGTCGGAAACCCTTCTTCCTCTCTTCTTCACCCCCCGCCCCTCTTTCGGATCTTGCGTCTCTCGCATCTCCGGCGGCTCCTCGGTTTAAAAGAGAAAAAAAAAAAGAAACCGCTTTGATTTGATTTCCTAGATTAACGTTTAGGGCGCGTGGCCGAACCCTTTCCTCCTCCTCCCGAGCCCTCTTCTCTCGCTCCCGTCCCCTTTCCCCCCCCTACCCCTCCTCGCGTCGGAATCTCCAGCACGCGACCAGGTAAGAGAAAAGGGACTCTCGATTCTTGAAACAAAAAAATAAAGAG